TCATTAGCACATGAAAGAGATATTTCCTTCACTGCTGTGAACATGAAGCCGGCCGTCATCATCATGACCCCGAACTCCAATCTCTGCATGACGAGCCGCCATTATCCGGAGCTCCAGAATATTGATCGTCCGTTCTACAACTGATCACTTCCCGATCAATAACCCCAAACTTACACTACGCCCTCCATTCTATACTATACATCATAGAGCCATCTCTACCCCTCCCCCGCACCCCGTATACCCTCCATTATTATATACACTCTATTGCCATAAGTATCTGTTGCTGTTGTTCCCAGTTGCTTCCACTTTGTTATAATCCCAGTAACAGGCGACCGCGGAATATTTAGTAGCCGGGAAATGTCACGGAACATCCAAATCCAATGATATGGAGGGGGAGGGCCCCAATACTTTTGGCAATATAGTGTACCCTGTATGGTCCTTCCTGCCCCTTCCCCACGCCCCGTATACCCTCCATTATATACTCTGTCTGTACATGCGTTTTGGTGTTATTAGATTTGGTTCCTGGACGCACGTGACTTCTACCTTTTGAGAACGCAGATAAACGCGTATAGCCGCCAGGTGTGAATGTCTTCATTGCCAGCATCTCCCGGGCGTACACATCGGGATAATGGGCCTCATTGAAGGCTTTCTCCAGTTCCTCCAGCTGGTACGAGGTGAAGATCGTCCTGGGAAGACATCACTAAGGATTAGGATGACTCCACGCCGCCTCCTGCACCCACTGTGACTACACAAGACTTCCAGGGGCTGCAGCCTGGGAGATGTGCCAGACTGACCAGAGGACTCTAATGTTGGCTCTCCTGAGAGGCTCCATACAAATCATTCAGATGTTTCATCACATCGGAGGTTTTCAGGAAGTGAAGCTCACACTTTAATGGTCATATACAGAGCAAAGCCTTCCCATGCCAGCGAGGGGAGAGGAGTTTCGGCATCGGCAGGCAGAGGCTTGGCATCTTCTTGTGTTACCATCGTGGAGTGAAAATGGATGCAAAATGGTGAAATGCCATTCCCAACATTCACCACCACCCAGTCTGCGTGTGTTGTGGAAGCATAACTAGACATAACCCCCAACATTCACCCTCTTCCCAACATGGACTCAATGGTTGAAGGTGGATGGATGATCCGATGGATGGACACTTGGATAGAAGGACAATCCGATGGATGGACAGTTGGATGGATGGACACTTGGATAGAAGGACAATCCGATGGATGGACAGTTGGATGGATGGACACTTGGATAGAAGGACAATCCGATGGATGGACAGTTGGATGGATGGACACTTGGATAGAAGGACAATCCGATGGATGGACAGTTGGATGGATGGACACTTGGATAGAAGGACAATCCGATGGATGGACAGTTGGATGGATGGACACTTGGATAGAAGGACAATCCGATGGATGGACAGTTGGATGGATGGACACTTGGATAGAAGGACAATCCGATGGATGGACAGTTGGATGGATGGACACTTGGATAGAAGGACAATCCGATGGATGGACAGTTGGATGGATGGACACTTGGATAGAAGGACAATCCGATGGATGGACAGTTGGATGGATGGACACTTGGATAGAAGGACAATCCGATGGATGGACAGTTGGATGGATGGACACTTGGATAGAAGGACAATCCGATGGATGGACAGTTGGATGGATGGACACTTGGATAGAAGGACAATCCGATGGATGGACAGTTGGATGGATGGACACTTGGATAGAAGGACAATCCGATGGATGGACAGTTGGATGGATGGACACTTGGATAGAAGGACAATCCGATGGATGGACAGTTGGATGGATGGACACTTGGATAGAAGGACAATCCGATGGATGGACAGTTGGATGGATGGACACTTGGATAGAAGGACAATGCGATGGATGGAAAGTTGGATGGATGGACACTTGGATAGAAGGACAATCCGATGGATGGACAGTTGGATGGATGGACACTTGGATAGAAGGACAATCCGATGGATGGACACTTGGATGGATGGACACTTGGATGGATGGACACTTGGATGGAAGGACAATCCGATGCATGGATGGTCCGATGGATGGACAGTTGAATGGACAGTCCGATGGATGGACAGTTGAATGGATGGACACTTGGATGGATGGACAATCCAATTGATGGACAGTTGGATGGATGGACAGTCCGATGGATGGACAGTTGGATGGATGGACAGTTGGATGGACGGTCCGAGGGATGGACAGTTGGATGGATGGACACTTGGATAGAAGGACAATCCGATGGATGGACAGTTGGATGGATGGACAGTTGGATGGATGGACACTTGGATAGAAGGACAATCCGATGGATGGACAGTTGGATGGATGGACACTTGGATAGAAGGACAATCCGATGGATGGACACTTGGATGGAAGGACAATCCGATGCATGGATGGTCCGATGGATGGACAGTTGAATGGACAGTCCGATGGATGGACAGTTGGATGGACGGTCCGATGGATGGACAGTTGAATGGATGGACACTTGGATGGATGGACAATCCAATTGATGGACAGTGGATGGAGCGCGGGGTACCTGTGCCTCCTCTTCTTCCGTTTCTTGTTTTGGTTGAGGGATTTGTTCAGTTTTCTGTCAGTGGAAGAAATCTCCTCGGAATCTGCAAATAAAAAAAACAGAAAATGTCCATCAGACGTTCCGTGGGACATGTGGCACATGTGACTAGGACATGTTACCACGCACATCATCTCAGGGGGAGGTAAATGCCTTTCTCCCTGAGATCTCGTGAGATTACAGATGAGATTTCCCAGCAATGCTCTGCTGATGTCACCTTCCCAGGATGCAACACTCGGGCACAGATTACATCACTAATGCCCAAGAGGACCAGGAAGTGGAAAAACAATAACTGTCAGTCAAAGGGAAATGTGTTTGTTGAGCTTTTGAATGTGAGATGGTTTCATATCAGCACGAGGGTCTGCACGCTCAGGTGATTTGTTAGTGATGGGGGTAAAGGTCCGCTTTAATATTGTATACGCTGTACTCAGTGGCGTAACAATCGCCATAGCGACCCAGGCGGCCGTTATGGGGCACAGGGGGGGGGCCCGGCCAGGGCATCCCTCTGATGCCGTGTGGGCTGCCTGGGTCGCTATGGCATGTAAGGGTGCTTGCTGTCACTGACACAGCTCAGCAGCAGCGTGTGTCAGTGACAGCCAGCAGCTACGGCAGAAGAGATCGGCGTTTGCAGTGAAGGAGGAGGCGGGGCCCAGGGACGGAAGAGGAGGCGGGGCACCGGCTACCACGGAGGCGGGCAGAGCTGACAGGTAAGAGGTGTGCAGCCCATCTGAGACCCTGCAGATCCCACTATAGAGAGTCTAGTGCAGGGTCACTCTCAGGTGGGCTCTGCAAGTGGCATAACTAGCAATCACGGGGGCCCCATACAACATTTTGCTACGGGGCCCTGTGATTTCTAGTTACGCCCCTGACTGTACTGCAAACATTGGAGGTGTGCTGCACCATTGCTCTTGCTGGGAGCCCGTTATCTGTCAGCTGTGCTGCACCTCCCGTCGCAGGATTGATTATCCTTCTGCGGCATATGAATTGCGTGTCGCCCCACATGTAGCGCGCGCACGTGGCTAGAGATCACCGTGCTTTATTTGCCTTTGCAGCCTATCGGGGGTCTGGCCCCTCCCACAACAGGTATGCGGTACCCCCCGGCCTTCCCTGTGTCACGTGCTGAAAGGAATACAATGACTGACATCCTTCATCCCGCCACAGTGTACTGCACCTAAGGAGGAGGCCCGGCTGAGCTCTGCCACGGCAACCTTGGGCCAAGCGCTTCAGCGGGTATCGGCACGCCTTCCTAATCCGCCCCAATCCACCGTGGACGCCCGACGAATCGACCAATCCTGCACTAGAATTTGATGCTCCTTCTCGGACGCGCCTTAGTACATCCCAGCGCTGCGAGCCGGTGACAAAGGGCAGAGAAGTCACATGTCCCCCAGGCTGTCATCTGAGACGGGGAGTGTGAGGCCGCAGGTACCGAGAATGAGGAACATTGGCTCCATTCCTCGGATCATGAGACGGAGTCTAGATCTGCAATGTATTGGTTCTGGTCTGCGGTCTGTAGTGCATTGGTTTTGGTCTGAGTTCTGCAGTGCATTGGTTCTGGTCTGAGTTCTGCAGTGCATTGGTTCTGGTCTGAGTTCTGCCGTGCATTGGTTCTGGTCTGAGTTCTGCCGTGCATTGGTTCTGGTCTGCAGTGCATTGGTTCTGGTCTGCGGTCTGCTATGCATTGGTTCTGGTCTGAGTTCTGCCGTGCATTGGTTCTGGTCTGCGGTCTGCAGTGCATTGGTTCTGGTCTGCAGTCTGCCATGCATTGGTTCTGGTCTGAGTTCTGCAGTGCATTGGTTCTGGTCTGAGTTCTGCAGTGCATTGGTTCTGGTCTGCAGTGCATTAGTTCTGGTCTGCAGTGTGCCGTGCATTGGTTCTGGTCTGAGTTCTGCAGTGCATTGGTTCTGGTCCGAGATCTGCAGTGCAATGGTTCTGGTCTGAGGTCTGCCATGTAATGGTTCTGGTCTGAGGTCTGCAGTGGCATGGTTCTGGTCTGAGGTCTGCCATGCATTGGTTCTGGTCTGAGGTCTGCAGTGCATTGGTTCTGGTCTGCAGTGCATTAGTTCTGGTCTGCAGTGTGCCGTGCATTGGTTCTGGTCTGAGTTCTGCAGTGCATTGTTGCTTGGTTCTGGTCTGCGGTCTGCCGTGCATTGGTTCTGGTCTGAGGTCTGCAGTGACATGGTTCTGGTCTGAGGTCTGTAGTGGCATGGTTCTGGTCTGAGGTCTGCCATGCATTGGTTCTGGTCTGAGGTCTGCAGTGACATGGTTCTGGTCTGAGGTCTGTAGTGGCATGGTTCTGGTCTGAGGTCTGTAGTGGCATGGTTCTGGTCTGAGGTCTGCCATGCATTGGTTCTGGTCTGAGGTCTGCAGTGACATGGTTCTAGTCTGAGGTCTGCCATGCATTGGTTCTGGTCTGAGGTCTGCGGTTTTAATAACAAAAACTTGGCTCCCAGACCCGAATAGGATTGGGAGCTCCCAAATGCTGTTTGGCAACAGAGTTGTTATTATTATGACAGGCCCGGTCCCGAATGCCAACAAATGAGCAGAACAAGTCCCGTGATGTCACGACTGGCTCCGCCCATTTGGTGGCATTCGGGTCAGATCTGCCATTTTTTTGGCGGTGTTCGTTGGGATCAGACGGGTCGGTGGGAGTCGGGTGTTTTTGCTTTCAGCGAGTCGCTGGACCACATGATTACACAGTATTTGAGGTTGAATGAAGACAAAGGTCCATCGGGTTCCACCTTCATTGGCCTTCAGATGACAAATCGATGGAAACTTTATTCCTAAATAAAGGAAATGTCACAAATTGTCTTGTGTGTTTATTTACAATGTTACTGTATTTGGTGAATGAGTAGGGGGTGACAACTGGAGCCCTCACTGACCACCTGGAGCCCTCACTGACCACCTGGA